CTTTTTTGAATCTAAAAAGTCTTACATAAAAACTGACTAAATATTTATATATACTTCAGGTTTAGTGATGTTGATGGGACAATCTTCAAGACTGCGGAGTAGCATTAATAGAATTCGAGACCATCCCCAAAGTGAAACCATGGAGTACAGAAAAAAATAAATAAATAAAATATCATTTAACATACATTTCCTTCTTGACTCGATAAAGTAGTCAAGTTATTAAAAATATGTATAATTGTTTTAATAAAACTGTGTTTCATACGACTGAATATTATTTAATATGGTATTCTTAAACATGTGGAATAAACAGTTCGAAATCAATAAGCCCGAACTGGAGCTACTCGACAACGAGCTAATGGAGGATGATGTGCGTAATATTAAAAATATGTATAATATATATAAAATATAAATCGATTTTGGGCTAAGCATGCTCGATGGAGTCAATGTTTGAGTAAATACGAAATCATTGACACGATATTAACACCAAAAGCTCATTTCAATCACTTTTACTATCTGTAAGCCGAAAGAAGGCGTACTTGAGTTTGAGCTGGCTTTATATCGTGCTTTTGTAACATGATCACACCAACTCCACCTCAATCAAATCGTCAAGCTGGAGCCTTTACCAGTCTTGATTTCAAGATCAAGTTTCAATCGTTTGTGCTCAGGGTGCAGTTGCTGTTGCCTATAAGCTGTAGCAAAACCAAACGTAGTCAACATCTAATCGGGCTTGCTCGTTATCCTATTGAACGCAAGTTAAGGCTTTGGCATGGCATACTTTAAGGGGCTGCCCAGAGTCTACCTCAGTGGGCACTATTAAATCGTATTGTGTAATAATTCTTAATAAAATTACTGAAGCGCAAACAGTAAAAGCAATGAGTGCTTCTGGCAAATATGTTCTTGTTTTTGTTTTTGATTTTGTTTTTGTTTTTGCTGCGCATGTGCCACTGTCATTGACAGCAATTAAGATGGCCAGCTAGAGGGCTTAAATGTACATTACTTTGTCCGACAACTGCGTCTTGTATATGTATGGGTGGGTGTACGTGTGGCTCTATGTGTATGTGTGTGTGTGGGTGTGTTATTAATGAAACGTCTAGCTGACTGCGACTTCTGACTGACTTAGCGGACTTTGCTTGCCAACTGGCAGGATTTCGTTGGGGATTTGCTTGAATGAAATGGCGTCAACGAAAATATTTGCCCGCCTGCAGTGGACCATTTTGCTTGATTTTCTAGTTGTTGGTTTTCCACTCTGCCTGCTAGCAGCAGTGTTCAGGGCTTATTGCCAGTCTGCTTATGCAGAAGACGATAGTTACCAAATGGCTTTGTATTTCAATGCGGATTGCATTTTGAATGGCGCACGGAAAAGGAAAATTTATTGAACAGCATTCATATGCTGCGCATTATTAATATTGATTTTTCAGAGTGGGCGTGATGAGAAATAGGCGTTGCTGTCCTTCACACACACACACACACGATGCGAGATGGCACACACACATACACACACGAGCTCTCAGCCTTCATCATATGCTAGAAGTAGTTCGAAATGTGTCTGATAAAAATAACAAAAGCAAACCTTTTATTTTTTTTTTATATATTTTTTTTTTATTTCTGTTTTCTTGCTCCCATTTTGAACCCGAAAGATAAAAGCCAGCCGCATTGTATTGTTTGTAGATGCTTGAGTAAAACCAAACGCAAAGGAAAATGGGAAAATACGTGCCGAATCGCCAGAGAATGCAGCCCGCAAATAACTAGGCGACCCTTGAATGCATTAATGATGCTTCAGCTCATTGCAAATAAATTGCTTTTGCCTGATGAAACAAGGCGCAATAAGTGCAAATCACTTGTCAAGAGAACAGATAAGGAATGAAGGAAATATGCACACATGCGTCAAATAATACCAAGAAAAGTGTTTAGTGAGAAATTTGAATATGTGGCAGACGTGACTTTAATGCATGCGCTGCAGCTGCTTCGTTTGCAAGGCAAAAAGAAATTGATTTTTTTTTCAGCTTTCTTTTTTTTTTGTGGCTTGTTTCTTTGAAGAAAAAGAAACACTCTTTGGCTGGAAAAGTGGCACACACGCAGCAAGCGACGCTGGAGCAGCAGTTGGCCCGGCTAAGTAGGCCACTTTAGGTGCAGCCACGAGSCAGCAACAACAACAGCAGCAGCAGCAACAGCAGCTCCTTCAACCATTTTCGCCTAAAGCTACACTCGCAACGCTGCTTTGTTAAGTGTTTGAAGCGTTCAGTATACGCCTCATTGGCAGCAATTTGGTTGTGCGAGTCAGAGCGATCATTAGCTTATAATGGCTCAGCTTTAATCATAACAATATTTCGCAGGACTCACTGCACGACCACTTGATCTGCTGCGGCAAAAGTCGTTGAAATTATTTTCATACTCAAACAGCGAGCGACAGCGACGTAAGGTAAGCAGATTATGTAACACATATACAAAGCATGCATGTGTGTGTGCGTGTGTGAAGGTGAATACGTATGAGTGTGTGTCTGTCACAGATAGCATTAACAATGGCACATGCTGACGCCAGTTTGTTTTTGCAACTTTTCAACAGTTCTTTCTCAACTGTTTTTTATTAGTGATTTCCGTTGAAAACAAGCAAAATTATGCGAATTCCCTTTTTAGCATCTATTTTTTTGTTTTTAACTTGAGGGCGTGGCAACACCTGGCATAAACTTTGCCATTTTAATATGAAAATATATATGTATATGTATCCATCCAACGCGCATATGCGTTGAAATGAAATGAAAACTTTGGGCGATACGTGTCAATTACTCCCGAAGTCAGAAAAAACAGTAAGATAGAGAGAGAGAGAGAAAAGAGGGACAAACAAATATACAAATTTAATAGATTTCAGATTGAATATGAAGTTCTTGCAGCTGCATTTAACAAACAAGGGACGAGACTGAGACAAAGGGCTAACTAACAAACTCAGCTGTAGTCTATTTGGCCGAAATCTACCTGGGTATAATACCCATTGGACTACTAATTGATTGGGCACGTGTGCCTTAGACAATGAGGTAAACAGTCCAAAAGGCAGGACAATGGAGGCACTGAATGCATTGAACGATTGCCTGCTCTGTGCCTGAGCATGTGAAACTGACACGAGGCAATTGAATAATGCAAAGGCCTATATGTGTGCATGTATGTGTGTTTATGGGGTCGACCAATTCATTATCGATTGACTCTATGTGAACTCCGACTTAGATATGCAAATTTCACCTAGGCCACACAGCTCGCCATGGCAATGAATAGACTGGAACTCAAAGAGAATTGTTCTGAATGGAGATTATAATTACAAATCAATGGGAGCACTCAATAAATATTGTTCTTTGTCTTCTATTAGGTTTTCAATATGATAAATTTAATTGCTATTGTCGCACTTGTGAAGTAGTCTGGAAGTAATCGAAGGCCCTGCTGCAGTAGTTAACGAAAAGGAAAACTTTGGCTTGTCAACAGCTCAACAAATCAATCATACGCAGTGTGGTGCGTGGTGCGTGTGCTGTCAGTTAATGCGTGACTTGCGGGCGTACTCACACAGACACCCACACACAAGCACGTTTGACACTTTTGCTTATAAATAATACAGAACAGTCATTACTCCAAACTATAAAGTCGACTCCCAATTTCGTCGCATATGTTATTATTGAATTATTTAAATCTCGACCCAAAACAAATAATGGACAACACACTTACTCGAATTGAGTTGGACTGGATTACATTGGATTGATTTGGACAGGTGGCTGGCATGCGTCTTAAGTTCAGTTCCCCAAAAACTTTTGCCAAACTTTTGAAAACTTCATTAATTTAAATGAACTCGCAACTTGAAGTCAACTGTAACACAGCTCAACGATGCATGCAAATTAACTAAAACTCGACAAAGCTGCAGCGTCTTGCTCTTGGTCTTGAAGCGGATACTGAGGGGAGCATCAGCTGTGCGAGTTGAGAGTCGGTGCTAATCGTACTATAGGTAGGCTGCATAATGCATAATAATGCAGCAGTCGACTTAATTATAGGATCTATCGAAACACATCTGCAGATTGGAAACTTCGATTCCACATTATAGACAATATGGGAATGGAATTAATTAATATATAACTGGATGATGAAATTCCTATTCAATGATTATTGTAGAACCTTAAAATTTGGATTTATTTATTTATTTTTGCGTTTAATCCTGCCATGCTAACTTTGCATTTTAAGAGCCAAACCAAAATACCTAAAGCGTTCGAGTAATATTATTATAAGAAAACAAATTATCATTAAATAACAAAAAGAAATAATAACAATAATAACTGCACTTTAAAAGATTCTGAATTTTAAACAAACCTAAATAGTCTGTAGACCTCATCTTAACACTTTATCAAACTAGACTAGAATCGAGCAATTGCAGAGTCCAAATAACACGTTGTCTGAGACAATAATATAATATAATATAATGCAATAATATAATATAATATAACATAAAAACAAACAATACTAAAGTATTAGTCTTCTAAACGAATACATTGAATAATAAAAGCAGAATATAATAAATACTAAACATACTAAGTTTGTAGAGCAAGAGAAAAGTTATCCAAGTCTAATCGAAGAACTATTGGGGCTCAGTCTACGCTAACTCAACTCCATATATACATAAGTCTACAAAAACAGTTTTGTACTATAAGAAAGACCCAACTGGCAACTCTATATCTTTTGATAGCGGCGGACACAATACGGCGTCTAAATGAACCAAATATAAATAAAAAAATATATAAATAATAAATATAATAAACAACCTTTTTTTATTAAAAAAAATATATATATACATATATATGGGTCCTCCGAATATGCGCAACTCGCAATTTACAGAGAAGTTGATAAGCCTTTAAACAGTTTTCTTTACAGCAATATGGAGCAGGTTTATGTGTATTTCAAACTGAGTGCACAGTTAGTTAAAGTTTACTTGAATCACTTGAATCACTGACTGCTTAACAGTCAACGTTGCTCACCTGAGATTCTCAATGCGTGGCCTGCGGCACTGGGGACGATTGCGTCGATGGCTGCGATCCTTTTTGCAGCGGCAATCGCAGTGCATGATGCAGAGTGCGATTGATGAGATGACCGTTATCACAAAGGGCACCACAAAAAAATGGATGATCATGGCCTCCTGATCGTCATGATTGTAGGATGTTAAGACGACGGTCTTGTTTTTACGCGAATAGAAACACGGATAGATGGCGCCTTCGACGCCGTAGTACATATTAAAATTCTTGCACGTCACTGTGGGCGGATAACCGCAGCCCTTAATGTTGACGAGCAGTGTGGCCTCGCTGGACTGCTCCCACTCAGCGGTGTAGTTTGTATAGTCGGTCATGTTCTCTGGTATCGTTATATTCTGTTCGATAAATGTCACATAGATGTGCACACAGCGATACAGATCGGAGGTGCAGCCCTCGCGGCAGGAACTCCACGAGCAATTAAATATGCCAACAAGATCCTCGCGCCGTGTTGTTGTGCACAGTGTTGGATGTTCGATAAAGTCGTGGCTCAGTGTCGATATCGCTGGATCCACATAGAGCGGCACCAGAAACAGCAGCGAGGCGCCGGCCGTCACCGAGAAGAAGGCGAGTGTTGAGGTGCCATAGAAACGCGCACGTTCCCGCCACGAACGAAAGCGCCGATTGCCATTTTTCTTTTTTGGAGCCAGTTCTCGGATTTTACGTAACCGTAGCTCTTGTTGTTGCTGCTCGAGTAGTAATTCCGAACTGCCACTCCTCATATTATTGTCGGTGCACTCAGGGCGCTGATGTTGCTGCTGATTGTTGCTGCTGCTGCTGCTGCTGCTGCTGCTATTGCTGCTGCTATTGCTGCTGCTATTGCTATTGCTATTGCTGTTGCTGTTGCTGTTGCTCTTCTTGTTGTTGCTTGCGTTGACGTCGGCTTCGCAGCAGCAGCTGCAGCTGCAGCGACGTCCACACCCGCACCAGCCAAAGCCTGCGGCTCGGCCTGAGAGCTGCTCCTAGGGTTAGTCGTTGTCGCTGTCGTTGCCGTTCGCGTTGCACTCGTCAATTTTACAGAGACTGAGAGAGCGAGAGTGAGAGAGAGGCGGAGAGATGGAGACAGGCAGTGGGATAGAGAGAGTACGAGTGCGAGTGTTGGACACTTGCAGCGTATGTCAAAGCTAACGCTGACGCTGACGTTGACGCCGACGTTGCGTTGGCAGCGCTGACAGCGCTGGCAGCTGGCGTCGCCGCCTACCGCGACATTCAAGAGCGGCCCGAGTACGCAACGGGCGCGACACGAGCTGCTGCCAATTGAGGTTATGTACACACGCGTCGACGCACAAGGAGACCGGATAAACAGCTGTTTGACCAACCAACCAAGGCTCACACTCCCACCGCACAGAGAGCCACCAGAGCGAGAGCGGGACTGAGCAAGAGAGCGGCAGCGAGTGGCAAAGAGCGCGCGCGTGAGTAGTTAACGGTTAAGCGGGAGTACGTGTGCAGGCGGGCATTCAGGCGAGCAATAGATAGAGATAGCGCGCACAAGACAGTGGGGGAGATGGCGAGACAGAGAGCGAGAGCGAGAGCGAGAGAGTCRCAGTCAGTCAGACGGTGAAAGGAAGACGCTCGCCAGCGTCTTCATTTGTATTGAATGAGTTGATTTTAATTTTTGCTTTACTTTTGATTAATCTTGCCGGCAGCTTTAACATTTGCATTATAATGCTAACACTTTGTCTACTTCTTCCTCTTCTTGTTATAGCTTTTGTTATTGTTTATTTTTGTTGTTGTTGTTGTTTTTAATTCATTGCAGTTCTTGTTGGCTCTGACACTGATGGGAAAAGAACAATATGAAGGGCAGCCATTAACAAAGTGCGGCTTGCGTGGGCGCCGCACTTGACAGCTGTTGATGTAGGTTAGTTTAACGAGAGACAGACGAAGCGAATTAGAGAGGGAGAGCGAGCAAGAGAGAGAGAGAGAGAGTGTGTGTGTGTCTGTGTGTGTGTGAGCGCCAAAAGCGAGTCAAATTGAAAGCGAAAGAGAACTGAATGCCTAGCAAAGGATAAATGCAGCGATGCTAGCGCCAGCGTCACTAGCAACTGCGACTGCGACTGCGACGCCGCAAACAGACTGTATGAGTTTCCTTTCAGTGTGTCGCCCTAGTGACTGTGTAATCTTTTTTTCTACATATATCTACATATATTAGCTAAATGATATTTGGATTCTATTTAGTCAATATTATATATTTCAATTTCCACACGGTAAAGCTTAAGCTTC